GCTAAAAATGCAAATGATGCATATTTTTGTAATTTTCATTCTTGTAAAACAAGCTTAATTATTTCTAATTGTAGAATTAAATCCTAAATGCAAATGCGACATATTTTTGTATTTTATTTATTATTAATTTAACAAATAAACATGCACAGACAAATACAAATAATTATCCAAAATGCCACAAAAATTCTCAAAATTGCGCACCAAGGAAAATCGTTTTATTTTGAATTTTTTGGGAGTAATTCTTTCATAGGGCAAAAATCACGTGCTTATACAAGGTATATGCTTTTTTGGTTAATAAGCTCTTCTTTTTGTTAAGAAACTCTAAGGTTTGCAAATACTACTTTATAGGCTATCCTTTCCAGCTAAATGTTTTAAGTCTTCTATGAGAACCCTTAGAGATATTCAATTAGATATCCTTAACCTTCTATTTGAATTATTAAAATTTAAGCAGAGGATGACAACATAACCTTTTGGTGATTAAATAACATTTGAAGTGTTCAAATTCGTATAACTATAAACTAACTTGCACAAATTCAAACCTTCATTCTTCTCCTATCTTTAATTTCTTCTTTGTCCTCCTTAATATGTTACATCACTTTTTTATAGCAATATACAAAAAGTAGTACTATTCCAATGGTGAAGATGTTTGACTACTACAGAATCAGTAGAACAAAAAAATTTCATCTTTTTTCTATTCTTTCTTTTGCTTTGATTGTTTGTATTATCAGCTTTTCTGATAATCTCATATCTAATTTTTCTTCTTCCATTCTGTTGTTTTTGTATCGAAAACCAATTCTTAACAACCACTTAAGTCAACTTTTGTACACAAACCTTTGTTTTACAAAAAGGAAGAAATTAGTGAAGTATCATATATTATCAAAGAACAACAAGAACAAGAACAAGAAGAAGAGCATGTGAATAACAATTCTGATAGTGTAAAAACTATTTGCACCTCACTGATAAGCACATTGTACATTACAATTATGATAGTGTAAATACTTTGAAATATTCCTATGTAAAAGGAGTAAAGCCAGCTAGCATGTAAAAGGAAAAAAAAGTGAACTAAAAATTTACCCAGGTTACAAGCTTGGTTCCTTCCTCTAAAAATGATTCATATGTTGGCTTTCGCCCAGTTAGAAGCTCAAGTAAAATAACTCCAAAGTTGTAAACATCTCCTTTTGCTATTGCCTTTTGAAGTTTATATTTACCTAGTTGAAGTTTATGAAGTTAGGAGTTGAATTATTCAATTCTAACTGTTCGTGTGTGTTTTCCACTTCTCTTTTGTGGATTACAAGGTATTAGGACATCCGCCACTGTGCTTGAGGACCTTGAGGAGATGCGGCGAATAATTCAACAACTTTCTAGGAATTGTGCGGATGAACGAGAAAAAGAAAGCATGGAGAGAAGATTAGAGATTCACTTAGGAATGACATCGAGTCCCTTAGGGCTCAAGTGAATCACTTAATCGGCTTGCCCCGCTCTCCGTCAAAAAGCCACATTTATGAAGAGGATGAAAGTGATGGAAATAATACAAATAATGAAGAAGATGAGGGGGAACCCAAAGATGAGTGATTTTATGTTTGGTTGGATTGTTGTTTAGTTGGATGTTAACTTTGAATGTTACATTTTGATGTTTGGTTAGATAGTTTTGATGATTGATAGGATAATTTGGATATTTGGATGATTGATGGGATAATTTGGATGTTTAGATATAGTTTATAAAGTTTTTTTTTGTTGTTAAGTTGAGTTTTATTGTGGTTGCATTTTAGTTTGTATTGTAATATTCTGCTAGCAGGTGGTGCAACAAAAAATAAGCACTGCCTGCCAAAAATATACCAGATTTACCGAGGGACTTACCGACAGAGTCCGTCGGAACAATTATTCATTTTCAATCCAGAATTCTTAATTAGCGAGGGAGTTCGTCGGTATGCTTGAACCAAATTTTTAGATTTTGTTGAAAATACCGACGGATAGCCATCGGAAAATGAATTTATTCTTATTTTTAATTTTTATATTACTAAATTAAAATTCTAAACTTACCGATGGTGTCCATCGGTATTATTAAATTATTATTTTTAATTTACCGACGGATATCCGTTGGTATTGATATTATTATTATTTTATAATATACCGACAGATAAGTAAAATTATTTGACCAGCTATCGTTAGAAATATACCGATGGCTTTCCGATGGGTCCGTCGGTAACTTACCGACGGATTCCGTCGGTATATTTTATCGAGGAAGGATTTACCTACCAACCACTTACCGACGGGCTTCCGTCGATAAAGCCTTGTTACCAACGGATATCCGTCGATAATTTACGTCGGTAAACAAATGATTTTTAGTAGTGATGTTAAAAATATTTTTGAACTAATTTACACTCGTGTTTCATGTGCTCTTTCAACCTAGCTGGACGGTCACCAATCACCATCAACCATACTAACAAGGAAGCAGATAATAAAAATGGTGGAGCTTAGCTTCCTTGACTTTCAAAATATCTCATAGAAGTGGGAGTTGGGGTAGTTGTATATGTAAACTGGGCAATCAACTCTAGCGGTCGTTTGGCACGTAGATTAAATAATCCCGAGATTATAAATATGAGATATTGGAAAACTTTGGTTTACTTGTTTTTCTCTTTATTATTCTCTTGCTACCTAAATTACTTCCTTTTATACATTCTTTTGATTATCAGTAACTCGTGTTCTTCTAAATTCTAGCTTTGACTAAAATTTTATTTTTTGGTTAAACACCGTGAAGTTAATGAAAGAGGTCGGCTAATTAGTTCACAAATTTTATTTTTTACATTTTAATCCACTAAGCTAGTTTACCTTATTACTTTACTACCCCTTGTAAGTTTCATTATTTCTTTTTGGTCCTTAGGTCATTGCTCATGTCTTGAGCAATAGCTCATTTTGAAGGATGAATGAAAAAACCTTTATCTTATTTACATTGTTTTCTTTTCTTCTTAGTTTTAGCTTAGGCTTAGTCAGATTCTTCTTCCTCTGAAATTTAGTATTCGTAACATAGTGAAGGGTTCTTTTGGCCCTTTAACATAAATTAAATATATTTGGATGCAAATAAAAGTTAGGTTTAACCATAGCTTAGGTTCTTACTGAATGTACTTAAATTTTTCTCCAACCAAGAAAACACTTCTGTTCGTATAGGGAAGGGAAGACGAAAAAGAATTATTTACACTGGATGTCTACGTCAACTCAATTAATTCATAAGATGTGTCTTCACACATATTATTATCACCATTAAAGTTAACTAATTAACACATTAATTTTTTTACAACCATAATAAATAATATAATTAATATAAATACTCGGTAGAGTTTTTCATGGTAAACCCGAGGGACCATTTTAGTCATTTTTAGTTATTTTGATATCTTGGCCACGTCGGCATCCAAATTTCTTACCTCATGATCACATTAATGATTCAAATATATTCAAGAAGAAAGGACCATATTGTTACAGAATATTCTTCTTTCAGCCTAATAGAAAAGACAAATTCAGTCAATATACGTAACATGTCCTTTTATGAAAATAATTGGCAATTTTATAACAAGAATAAGACAAAATTTTCACACTCATCTCAATATAGGACATGAATGTTAAGCTAATCCACGTACAAGGTTATAGTGTTAAATAAATTAGAAAAAATCAATCAATATATGTAACATGTCTTTTATGAAAATAATAGGTAATTTTATAACAAGAACAGAACATAGTCTTCACCATCATCTCAATAAAAAACATGAATATTAAACTAATTTAGTACAAGTTTATAATGTTACATAAACTATAGAAACAACAAATTCATTCCACTGTAATAAAAACCATGGCTGAAACAAAGAAGCTTCATGTTGTGTTATTTCCATGGTTAGCTTTTGGCCACTTAATTCCATTTTTCGAACTTGCTAAACAAATTGCACGTAAGGGTCACAAAGTTTCCTATATTTCAACTTCTAGAAACATCGATCGACTCCCAAAATTTTCTCAAAAGTTAAATTACTCCATACATTTTGTTAATCTTTCTCTACCTTTAACCAAAGGTCTACCAGAAAACGCGGAGGCCACAAAGGATGTACCACTTGACAAGGTTCAATACCTCAAGAAGGCTTTTGATGGACTCGAATCCGAGTTGACTCAGTTCCTCGAGGACTCAGTCCCCGATTGGATCATTTACGATTTTACCCCTTATTGGTTGCCCCCGATCGCGGGTAGACTTGGAATTTCACGTGCCTTCTTTAGCACGTTTAATGCATGGTCTAGTGTATTTTTTGGTCCGGCAAAAGACGTAATTGACGGTAATATTCAACGGACCAAGCCTGAGGATTTCACTGTTCCACCAAAATGGATCCCTTTTCCGTCCAATATAGCATTCCGTCTCTATGAAATAAACAGGTAATATTGAATAATAATTCAAAGTTTTTCCTATCCTTTTTATTAGGTAAAGTATTTCCCATTTTCCACAAATTGTTAGTCAAAATAAGAATAGAATAAGTGCTTAAATTTTCCAAGTAGTTGAGAATTTTTCGGTTAAATGCGACTATGGGCATCTAGGGGCGGACCTAGTGCATAGGCTACGGGTTCTCGGGAACCCAGTAACTCTTGCATAGATCCTGTATTTATATTAAGAAATTCACTAAATATTAGTAAATATCTAAATGTGAACCCAGTTATTATTGCATATTAATCTGAAATTACGGTAGAAACCCATAAGCCTCAAATTCTGGATCCGCCTCTGTGGGCAGCGGGGTTAAATGCAACTATGCAAGTCTATAAATAGGCATGTTCACTTATATTTTCTATGGCGTTAGCAATTTAGTTTTCAACGTTCTCTATGCTCTCTTTATTTCAATTGTTCATATTCTACTTAATTTTTCAACAGGTATTTTGGCCATGGGCAAGAGAACGTCTCAGGCGTCTCCGATTGGCATCGGTTTGGAGAATCAGTGTCCGGTTGTGATGTGTTTCTTGTACGTAGTTGTAACGAGTTAGAGAGAGAATGGTTAGATCTTCTTCCAGAGCTTCATCAGAAACCTATCGTGCCAGTCGGCCTGTTGCCACCTTCCGTACAAGATACGGAAGGTGACAAAAGCTATGCATGGGGTTTTATTAATAATTGGTTAGCCATGCAACGTAAAAAATCAGTTGTTTACGTAGCCCTAGGAACCGAGGCAACTCCGAGTCAAGAGGAACTCACTGAGTTGGCTCATGGGTTGGAGTTATCCGGGTTGCCATTTTTCTGGGCTCTAAGGAAACAACATGATTTTTTATTGTTAAAATTACCCGAAGGTTTCGAGGAACGTACCAAAACTCGAGGTATAGTTTGGATGAGTTGGGCTCCACAACTCAGGATATTGGAACATGACTCAGTGGGTTGTTTTTTGACTCATTGTGGCTGGGGTTCTATTATAGAAGGACTTCAATTTGGAAAACCCCTTGTTATGTTGCCTTTTTTGGGAGATCAAGCACTAAATGCTCGATGTTTGGAAGAAAAAATGGTGGGATTAGAAATTCCAAGAAATGAAAGGGATGGGTCTTTGACTCGGAACTCAGTGGCTGAGTCACTCAAATTAGTGATGAATGATGAGAAGGGAAAGATTTATTGGGAGAAAGCAAATGAAATGAGAAAAATATTTGGAAACAGAGATTTATGTGATAACTACATAGATGACTTCATTGAATTCGTAAGAACAGAAGTAATTGTATAGATTAATAGAGTGGATTATCATAGATGAAAATATTGTACCTACCATTCACCTTTCTCTTTTCTCTTTTCCCTCCCTTGGTGTAATAAAACAAATTAAATAAATAATCTTTTTTATTTTCTACCCGATATCTGGTACCTGCATCGAAGCCTCGACAAATGAAATAACATCTAAAATATGAAAACTATGCTAAAAAAGAGCAATAAAAGAATGTTGAGAAAGGTTTCTTGAATTAGTGCTGGAGTGTATAAGATATGTCTTAGTGGCGAAAGAACTGATTCGTCAAAGCAATTTGAATTCAGATCCACATGAATATATTCCTTTTGATTGAAACGAATTAATTCTCTTGCCATTATTTTTTAAAAATATATATTGTTAGCTATTAGTGTTGTGTGTAGAAATTAGAAATTTTTATCGTGAAAGTTACTCCTTCTATTACTTATTAAAAGTATAATATTTACTGTGATTTTGACATTGAGGGTGTGTTTGGTACGAAGAAAAATATTTTTCGTAAAAAATATTTTCATGAAAAATGATTGATTTTATTATTTAGTTTTTCTTATTTGGTTGGTGAGTAAAAAAATTTTACCAAAAAATATTTTCTAGTGTTTAATTAAAGAGTAGAAAATACTTTTAGGAAAATAATTTTATATGCTACTCTCTTCACCCCCCCCCCCCCCCCCCCCCCTCCAAATACCTAATGTTTTCAATACTCTATTTTTTTCAAGAATTTAATTATTCTTCTAAAAATTCACCCAAACCTAAATGAACTAATGTGATGCTTTACTTTTTTCACACAAAAATAACAATAAACACTACTAAAAAGAGGGGAAAATCGACTGCCAAAGCTGACCGATGTTGGTCGGTAATTGGCAAAAATCGTCCGAAAACCGATCGATTTGTGGCGGTCGGTAATGGAGTGGTCCGTAGAGCCAACTTTGGTCGATATTTTTCGATCGATTTTAGCCGGTTAATTAAATTCCACAAATGATCAAAAAAGAAAAAATCTACCAAAAAATCTACCGAAGTCGGTTGTTACAACCCATATCCACATGTGTTAGTTCATGCCATATATTAGTTAACATAAATCCAA